AAAAAAAAAAAAAAAAAAAGATTAGGATTTTCATGGGGACTCACAAATACAGGCAGTTTACAAGCAAAGTTTTCTGAAGAGAATGTGTGTTTGTACATTCTTGTGGTTTCCAGAATTTTCTAAGGTAGTAGTTTAGGGTCTGTACTCTACTGCACTCTTGTGAGCTGTCTTCCCTTACATCTGCTTTACTATAGAAGCAGATTTGTGAAATCCAACTGTTTTGTGTGTGTGTGAGATTCATTTATTTAATCATAGATGTGTACATTAATGCAATCATGGGGTACAATGTGCTAGTTTTATATACAATTAGAAGTTTTTTTGTTTTGGGGGGTTTTTTTTGCAGTTTTTGGCAAGGGGCTGGGTTTGACCCCACCACCTCCGGTATATGGGGCTGTCGTCCTACTCCTTTGAGCCACAGGCACCACCTAATTTGAAATATTTTCATCAAACTGGTTAACATAGCCGTCATGGCATTATTTTAATTATTGTGTTAAGACATTTATATTCTATACTTAGTAAATTTCACATGTACCCTTGTAAAATGCACCAAAGGTATGGTCCCACCAATTACCCTCTTCCCTCTCCGCCCCTCCCCTCCCTAATCCAACTGTCTTCTACTAAACTAGATAATAAAAAGATCTATAAAAATGTAAAACCAGCTCCACTCTTATCATTGTCTTGTTTTAGAAAAGTTATTTTTGTCCTGGGTGTGGTGGCTGATACCCCATAATCCTAACGCTCTGGGAGGCTGAGGTGGGTGGATTGCCTGAGCTCATGAGTTTGAGACCAGCCTGAGCAAGAGCAAGACCTTGTCTTTAAAAATAGCGGAGCATTGTGGCAGTCGCCTGTAGTCCCAGCTTCTTAGGAGGCTGAGGCAAGAGAATCTCCTGAGCCCAAGAGTTAGAGGTTGCTGTGAACTGTGATGCCACCACAGTCTACTGAGGGTGACAAAGTGACCTTTTTTTCCTTAAAAAAATATTATTGAATTGGCTCAGTACCTGTGGCTCAAGTGGCTAAGGTGCCAACCACATACATCTAAGGTAGCAGGCACCTGTGGTCCCAGCTACTTGGGAGGCTGAGGCAGGAGACTCTCTTGAGCCCAGGAGTTGGAAGTTGCTGTGAGCTATGATGGCACAGCACTCTACCCAGGGGGATAGCTTGAGGCTCTGTCTCAAAAAAAAAAAAAAGTATTGAATTATTATATAATGGGTTTATTGCTATTTTTACATAAATTAAGTTTCTTAGTTTTATTTCTAATATACTGTGGGAGGTAGATAGGCTAGCATCTCTTCGGATAGCCCTGCCTCCATCCAGGGCAAAGCGAGCAGATGTCATCCCTGGGGCTCGTCTAGACTCCCTAAGGTGAAGGGAGGCCAGAGGCACCTAGATAGGACAAAGTTGCTAAAACCATCTCTGCAGGTGGGTAAATCCTTTAAACTGTTGGATTGGGAAACTGGCTTGCTTGCCCTACAGGAATGAAACTTCTTTTCCCCTCTTCCTTTTTCTAAGTATGTTATTGTACAGACATTATTGACAGCTTACTACCAATTACTCCTCATGACTTCATGAGACTCTTCTAATTTGGGATTAATTAGAATTCTTAGGATTCTTCTAATCCTATTAGAATTTTGGCATCTTTACAGTTTGCATACAGGGTTTGTTAGAGATCATGACGTTTCTGAGAAGTCAAACAGTCACTACTTTGTCTCAGTCTCCCACAGTGTGGTGTGGCGTGTGAGTTAATGTTCACCTTTCTCTAGGCTGCCAGATTTTATGCATTAAGTTAGTCATTATTTCCCCCAGGTTATCCCCCAGGAAGTCCCCTACTGACTCCCAGCCTGTAGCAAAGGGGCCCGTAGCAAACCCTGAGGGAATAGTAGTTCTAACACACATAAAAAAATGAAAAAGTTTGTAGAGTCCTCAGGTTTTAAGAGTATGAAGAGGTCTTTAGGCCAAAATGCTGAAAACTATTTGTAGTTTCTGGTTCCCACATTCTCTGGAATTTATAGAGTTGTTGAGGGCAGTGGAGCTTTCCTGTTGGCTGGGGTACTCTTCTAATTAGAATTGCCTTTGTACTGTTTGAGACCCTTATCCACACCCCACCCCTGAATTTGCCAACTCCTGCCAAAATGTTTTTTATCAGGAAAAAAATAATATTTTTATCATATTTTTAGAACTATAAGATCTATAAGATTTTTTTTTTGGAGACAGCCTCAAGCTGTCACCCTGGATAGAGTGCTATGGCATCGTAGCTCACAGCAACCTCCAACTCCTGGGCTTAAGTGATTCTCTTGCCTCAGCCTCCCAAGTAGCTGGGATGACAGGCGCCCACCACAACGCCTGCCTGGCTTTTTTTTTTTTTTTTGGTTGTAGTTGTCATTGTTATTTGCAGGCTTGGGCTGAATTCGAACCCACCAGCTCTGGTGTAAGTGGCTGGCGCCTTAGCCACGCCGGGCCATAGAACTTTAAGATCTTGATATCTGGTTAAGATGGCATATGTTATGTTAAACTCTTTTTACCACAATTTAAAAATTTCTTTCAGTTGGGCAGCATCTGTGGCTCAGTGGGTAGGGCACCAGCCCCATGTACTGAGGGTGGCAGGTTCAAACCCGGCCCCTGCCAAACTGCAACAAAAAATAGCC